ATCAGGCGCCACAGTATTTTTGCGTAGAACACCTTCGGCCGCGCTTCAAAAATATAACCCTCATCAGTCCACCTCCAGGTACGCAGTCCACTAACTTGTTGCGTCCAACTTGTTTCGGCGTGGTCGGATGTATCGGAGCTGGGAGGAACAAGTTTAGCTATATAGGGAAAACTTGAAAGTCAGAGGTGGAGGGCTCGAGCACCCCTCTGCACCTACCTGGATACGCCTATGAATAGCTGTCGAATATCTCAGCCAAACTCAAATGGAATTTTAAAATCCATAGCTAGTTAAAAATATAACTGATTACGACTTCGTCCTTTATACCTTTATATATGTACTAGGAATGTTTCGAATGTCATGTTTTTCACATTCGCGAATGTGAATGCCAATTCCAATTTTTGGAATGTGAATGTGCGAATGTTAGGAATAAAATTAAAAAAGATATGATCAACTTAAGTCATCGTTTTTATTACTTATCAATTTTGTACGAACGAGTGCTTAACCTATACAGTGTTTTAATCTAGTAGACAAAGTAAAAAAAAAATAATAATTTTGCTGCCTTTTCTCTCATGAGGCGATCGAGAGGATTTTAACCGAGATAAGTTCGTTTTTCCTTAAGGTAGGCCTTCAATTGAGCTTTTATTTCACATTTTTAATGTCTCCATGTTCTACATCCGAGCCTTCGCTTTCGCTGGAGGAATCTAAAATTATTTCTAGGTTGCTTATAAGACTTTTAGCAGTATACTTGTTGAAGGTCCACCAATTTTGTTTGATATACTACTTAACCGTTTAGCGCCTAAAGCTAAAAGCCGGTTATTGTCCGCACCCTGGTTATACAGACTTGGAGCCATTTCAACAATATTAGAGTGGACTCTCTGCCCATGTACACTTCGCAAAACATTCGCATCATTTTATGCGAACCATTCGCATAACGAATACGAATGCAAATATTCGCAACATCCCTGATATGTATGTACATATGTAGGTATGTATACTAGTCAAAAGAACTGTCGGACATAGTGATTGACTCGGTTTTTCCAAACCGGTCTGCACCAGTTTTTTGGATATCTGTAGGCGGTTTTTTTTTAAATCCTCATTTTCGAATATCGAACCAACCGGATTTTTTATCGATAAAACCGGTTTGTTTATTTCATACATTTCCTGACCTCTCAATAAATACTTAAAGTTTTTCGGAATTTTCAAGGCTGTTTCCAGTTTAAGGGAAACCCCGAAATTGTTTAGAGGATCGTTTCGCATTATACATAGCTACCGAAAGTCTTTCTAAATTTGCGAAAATTCGCAAACAATAGCTAATATTAAAAAAGGTAATTATATCAGCGATCTAAATACACCCCAGAATTATTAATGCTACTTTACATAAAGAGCAGTACAGTTATCAACGAAGAATTACAATTAACAAAACAATTACAATGGAAAAAAAAAGTTTGTACCCTGGCCTTTTAACAAAATTCTGTCTTATTCCAGTGTGATTTGCATCATTTGGGGGTCGATGCGCGGGCTCTTGCAATTAAAATAAACGAGAAATATTTTCAGGCTTTTTGTTGACTTCATGATACAATTTATTGTCACTACTAGCAGACCCGGCGAACTTCGTCCCGCCCAAAATTTTTATATATTTTATTGAAACTTTTTGGTCCAACATTTTCACCAACAATTCACGTTTACGATTTTCATTGGCACATTTGTCTGCTAAGATTAAGGTTTGGTGGTCATTTGCCGCTTTAAATAACCTAAGGAAAGTGTTATATCCGTTCTTGAAATTCTCCAGTTGTGCGGCATTTCATAGCACGGTTATTCGCAAAGCGAAATAAATTTTTTCCTCTTCACTCCCTGGCGGCAACAATGACCCGGTTCTATAGTGAATGTCCTAGAAGCTTTACAGTATAGTAGGTGGCAATTTCAAAATGGGTGCGAATCATTGTTCTACAGAAATGCAATATACATATACTTATTTCAGACGAAATACCTTAAAAGTTTGAACGCATAATAATATTGGAAAATCACATCCATTGGGCCAATTGAATCGCAGGAGCGTTCGATATACTCAATGGTGCAACAGGTCGATTTAATCTGACCTTCACGGCCCCTTTTCTCACTTGGCTATTTTTAGTAATAGCTCGACTTCAGCACCACTTGGCAGCACGTTTTTGCAATAGTATTGCATACATATTTAAAACATTAGCCAAATCGGATCATAAATAAGATTTTTAGTAATAACTCAACTACAGCGCCAACTGTCGGATTAAATTGTGAAACTAAACCATCCAGAGACCCACTCAAATACACAAAAAGTTTCGTTAAAATCCGTACAACCATTTAGGAGGATTTCACTCACAAACACACCTACAGAAGAATAAAAAAATTCATTCAAAGATAGCTAAAGGTCGGTACGTTTGTAGGCCTCACACCCCTTTTCAAATAGCCCAAATTTTCTCCATGAGTATGGGCTTGATTTCAACTATATACATATCTCCATACGAAGTTCCAGTACTGTACCATGAATACTTTCAGAGATATGCAGTATAAAAATTCGATTTATATGGGAGGAGCCACGCCCCCCTTTCCAACAGCTGCCCTCTTTCTTCATGAGTATGCGATTGATTTCGTATATCTCCATACCAAGTTCCAGAACTCTACCATGAACACTTCCAAAGATAGGCAGTATGAAAAATTCGGTTTGTATGGAAGATGCCACGCCCCCTTTTCCAATAGTTCCAATTTTTCTCCAAGAGTATGCGATTTATTTCGTACATCTCCATACAAAACTCTAGAACTCTACCAAAAAATTTCCAGAGATAAGCAGTATGAAAAATTCGGTTTGTATGGGAGATGTCACACCCCTTTTTACAATAGCTAAAATTTTTCTCCAAGGGTATGCGATTGATTTCGTATATCTCCATACCAATTTCCAAAACTCTACCATGCACACTTTCAGAGATATGTAGCATGAGAAATTCGGTTTGTATGGGAAGTGCCACGCCCCCTTTACATATAGATTTTTTTCAGCCTAAAACCATCCTTGGGACACGTGCGGCAGGTGGCAGTTTCAAAAAAATCGGTTCAACCGCTCTCGAGCCTTGCGAAAACTAACAAACGGCTTTCTAAATATATATTAGTTGAGATATATTATATATTATAATTATATTTTGACAGTATCCGTTGTTTCTGATTGGCGCAAAAAAATCTTGCCTAGTGACGAATTCGCCCCTTGATATGGTCGTTACTTAAAGCTATTTATATTCGAAATTGCATGAAAATTGGAAAACAGGAATCTATAAGCTTATCCAGGCAAAAAGCTACCTACGTACCGAATTTTAAGCAAATCGGACCATAAATACGATTTCTTCGAACAGATCGGTCCCTGGTCCACTTCTCGGACAAAATGGATCATATATGCTAATATATGCTAAAAAGCTACCTACGTACCGAATTTTACGCAAATCGGACCGTAAATACGATTTTTTCGAATAGATCAGTCCCTGGTCCACTTCTCGGAAAAAATGGACCATATATCCTAATATATGCTAAAAAACTACTTACGTACCGAATTTTAAGCAAATCGGACCATAAATGCGATTTTTTGGAATAGATCGGTCCCTGGTCCACTTCTCGGAAAAAATTTATCATATATGCTAATATATGCTAAAAAGCTACTTACGTACTAAATTTTAAGCAAATCGGACAATAATAAAATTTTTTCGAATAGACCGGTCCCTGGCCCACCTACCCAAAAAAAAAATTTTTTTAGCCTAAAACATGGTGGTTACCGAAAGCTATTTGTATACAAAATTTCATGAAAATCGGACCAGCCGTTCGCGAGATTACCTGTTACAAAAAAAGGGACTTCTCTTTATATAATTAGTATAGATTACCAATGGATTTAAGAAAAATTAACTTTTTTCGACCCGCCCTAATGTACATATTTATTTCTTTTATCCTTGCCCTTTGCGATTATATTGCATCCACGACCCTTAGTGTCTCCAAACCTTCGTTGGCTGTAAAACAGCTTTGAATAATGCCAACATCAGTTTGACAGTATATTTGAACATTGCTTACACTGCTATATTTATCCGACTTCAAAAGAAGGAGAAGGATCCCAATTTGTCGGAATATTTTTAACCGATTTGGATAATTGTTTTTCTAAAAAGGAGGCGTCTCCAACGTGGTCCCATACTAATTTGGTTTAGATCCGATTATTGGATCATGAAGAAATTGACTTGTTATTTAACATGTAATTTTTAAGCAAAAAAACAAAACCGACTTCAATTCTCATACACAAATTTTAGGTACCTTTCTTCATGATCCAATGATCGGATTTAAATTAGTATCGGACCACCTATGGAATACCGCCTTTCCTTACAAAAAAACGGAATTATAGACATCGGTTAAGGTAGTTCAAAGTTGTCGGTTAAGGTAGTTCAAAGTTATGCGGTAACATACGTAAAAACAAGTAAGAGCAGCGCTGTCTTCGGCTACGCCGAAGGCTTCATACCTTTCATGAACATCTGCAAATTTTACTTTGACAGATTACTGCTTTTGAATACATGTGNTCTCTTTTTGTTCTGGTACTTACAAACATCGGACCAAAGTTATAATACCATTTCATGCTCATGAAAGGTATAAAAATATTCCGACGAATTGATAACCTTCTCCTCTTTTTGAAGTCGTTTAGTACTTTTTCGCAACGCTATTTTCAAATGTTGTGAACAATTTAAAATTGACTTTAATCACTTATTGAAAAGAAAAATGCAAAATCAAATGTTTATATTTGGAATTTGGAAAAATCCATAAAATAATCTCCGTGGTTATAAGTTTTGAAATGATTTAGCGTTATTGCATTTATGTACATTAATTACCTTAAAAAACTATGCACAAGCCATTCACCTTACACACGCCTTTAAATGATTAGTATAGTTGATTTTCTTGACCTCAATCTCAATAATCAAAAAAGGCATTTTGTGTTTATTTTCAACACTTACCCAATATCACAAGTCCATTGCCAATTAAACCAGCCAGACCAATTAATCCGAAAAAGACCGGAACCACCGTAGACACAACACTCTCCAATGGATCAAACTCGAAATCTAACAAATTATCATGTAGTTGTGTGAAATTGCTGCTGGCTTCATCCATCAAAGGATATCCCGTGTAACTTGAGCGGCTGCCCAAAAATTCAACGCCATCGCTCAGCGTAAAGTTGCCACATTCCACAGCAGCCGTGGCACTTACATTGTTGCTACTGTCGCTCTTGACAGTGAATTCGTGTGTACAGGCAGTCTGTGTGGGTTTTACGAAAAGTGGCATTGATAAAGCGAGCAAAAGTGGTGACAATCGCCCAAGCTGCGTTACGTGGCTGTGATAACGTTGTTTGTTCAGTTTGCTGTGTGTTTGTTTAGGTGAAAGGTTTGGAGGACTTTGCACGTTGCGCTCCTTCGTAGCTTCTTCGCTGCATAACTGTTGATTAATACCAGTCATCTGTACACATGTTGATCCAGTAGCCATTTTGTGAGATGCCTGCTATTTAATTTACACTTTTATTTTGTTGTGCTCATTTTTCATAATAACCTTCCTTGCTACTATTCTCCATCTCAGAGTAATATCCTTTTGTCCGGCGTCAATGTGGGTGCTAACTTCGCGCACGAGTCACAAAAGGATAGATTTTTCTATAAGAAAAAGGAAACCGGAAATTAAATTTTATTTGACATTTAATACATATTTATATATGTATGTTTATACTATATATGTATATGCACGAATGTAGTCGATAAAAGAAATTCGAAGGGTAAAACGCACGCGCATGTCCATCATTATAATCGACTTCAAAATTTAATGCAGCTGTAGTTATTGGACAAATAGAAGTCGATCGTTCTTAAATTAATATTCTACGTTGCATACAAATATGTATGTATTTTATATTTAGTTACTCCCCGGTTATATAACCACAAAGATAAAGATACGAAAAATAATGCTTTACGCGTAGAATTTTTATATGGAAGTCCTGCTTATAAGTTTTAAATTAATTTTACCAAATCGGTGATGATCTATATTTTCGTGGTATTACAGAATTCCGATTTTTTCTTGTAAGTGCCCTTTTCAACCTACAAATTACCTTCGCACTTCAATTCGTCCTAGACTTCTCAATTGAGTGAAATGTGAATTAGCAAGTCGAGGATGCTCTTTCTTTTAGTCGTATTACCGACTTCGATCGGAATGGATTTCCAGTTAAGAAATTTACTTCTGGACAGTTTAATTTACCTCCAGTCGAAACCGGAAGTCGTTAACGCCACCACAAGATAGAGCATCCCGGTTTTGGGTGGTCATATTTTTGTGTTTTTCAATCAAAAACATTTTCCTCCATATATCCATATTTGAAAATTTTGAAATAATAACAATTATAAATTTCATGCAATATTTTAGTCCTCTAATTTCCATTAAAAAAAAAAAAGAGTTGTCAGATAAATTGCGGTTTCTGATTTATACAAAATATTGCTTTTTGAGTGAGTACGATTAACCGTTTAAATGAAAGATGAAAGTTAGCACTCATCACTCAATTTACCTTCTGTATATCTGGCAAGAAAATAAGTTATCATTGCAAAAGGGAGACCCATAAATATAACGTAATGGATATTTAGTAACACGGCATTTACCAGCGGAACTTTTTTCGTTACAAATATATGTATGAAAAAGTAAAGTCGGAAGTTTTATGCTCTACCCCCCTAGTATTGTTCCATACCGAAAAAAATATATCACTATTTTTTATTTTGCAATCAAAAAAATATTTAGAGGTCGTTCAAAGCGCCCAAAATTTTCCATGCGTTTTATATGGGGAAAAAACAGCTTTTCGGAACAACCTTGCATCGGAAAGGTAGTGTCTCAGAGGTGAACCCATACTAATCTGGTTAAGATCCGATCAGTGGATCATGAGATATATATATGTATATATATATATATTTTTTTTTATATGAGAGTTGAAGTCGGTTTTTGTTTGCTAAAAATTACTTATTTACTTATGTTCGAAAATGAAAGAAAAAAATTTTACGTTTGAATGCTTCCAATCTTTTGGAAAATACTTGAAATTAATTTCGAATGCCTGCAATTATTTAAAAAATTATTCATAAACATTTTTCCATAGGAAACATTTAATTAAAAAATATTTTTAATTTGCAATCTATACTGATATATAGTTTGAAAGCCGTTTTTTGTAATCAAAAAGCTCGAGAACAGCTGTGCCGATATTTTTGATCTTTTGGATCTCGACTCTAGACCCTCAAAGGATGTTAATAGAAGAAGAATAATTTCGATATATCAGGGGCCGTGGCACCTCTCATACAAACTAAAGTTTTCACACAACATATCTCTGGAAGTATTCCTCGTANAATCTATACTGATATATAGTTTGAAAGCCGTTTTTTGTAATCAAAAAGCTCGAGAACCGCTGTGCCGATATTTTTGATCTTTTGGATCTCGACTCTAGACCCTCAAAGGATGTTAATAGAAGAAGAATGATTTCGATATATCAGGGGCCGTGGCACCTCTCATACAAACTAAAGTTTTCACACAACATATCTCTGGAAGTATTTCTCGTAGAGTGCTGCAACTTAGTATAGAGATATATAATATCTACGCCAAACTCATGTAAAAAATGGGAGTTATTGAAAAAGGGCGTGGCTCCTCACAAACAAACTGAATTTCTCACATTTGAATGTGTGTGTTTCATTAACTCCCATTTTTTCCATAAGTTTGGCGTAAAATATATCTTTGTACTAAATTGCAGCACTCGACGATGAATACTTCCAGAGATATGATGTGTGAAAACTTCAATTTGTATGGGAGGTGTCACGCCCTCTTAATCTATCAAAATCGTTTTTGATCTATTATCAGCCTTCGATAGTCTGGAGCAGGGTTGTTGCGAATATTATTCCAAAATAAAAGTCCTTTCCGGATAATGAACAAACGGCCTGTCCAAATTAAACAAATTTGGTATCATATGAAAGGGGACTAAAATAGTTGTTAAACGGAAATAACGAACGACCTCTATTTATATTTTTTTTATAATTTAATACTAAAGAAATGCATATACCTGACACAAGGTTTGTTCTATGGTAATTAATTAACATTTATTATTGAAATAATTTTCAATATGTGGCTTTCCTTGTTTAGAAATTTCAATGTTAAAGCTATTTAAGTCCTCTTTCATTTGATACCAAACTTGTTTAGTTTGCATAAGCGGTTTGTTTATTATTCGGAAAAGACTTTATATTCGCAACAAACCAGGTCTGGAGTCGATGCCTAAAATTTCAAAAATATCGGTACAGCTGTTCTCAAGTTTTCCGAACAGAAAAAAACTAAAAAAAACGGCTTTCAAAACTTATATTAGTTTAAATAACAAATGAAATACAATTTTTAATAAAATCTATCCTATTGAAAAATGTTTATGAATAATTTTTTAAATAATTTCAGACATTTGAAATTAATTTCAAGTATTTTCCAAAAATGTGGAAGCATTCAAACGTAAAATTTTGTTTCTTTCATTTTTGAACATAAATAAATAAAAACCAGAGCCTTCTTAAAAAATGGTCACGGGTAGATCAACGCGAAATTTAATTATCTTTTATTTAACAAACAAAAAAGGTTGAAATCGGTTCATATATAGGCTCCCAAAATTAATTTATCCACAGCAACCTTTTTTGCCCCACTGTGCGTCCCATAGTGCGAAATATCGAAAACAATTTGAGCCGTGCCGCAATAATAACCGTATGAGTGTATTTTTTTATTTTTCTTTAAATATCTTTAGTGTTAAAAAGTAGATAAAGCCGATGATTTACAAATACTCTTTATAATGACTTTTCATATATGTACTACATATATTTTTCAAAGCCTTTTAATAACACGATGCTACAAAAAAAATGGTTGCGTATATTTTTTACAACGCTTTTATCAACTTACAATGTTGTATGTCAAGATACCGTTTACAGAGAACGTTTATAATGAACATATGAACATATATTTGCGAAAAACTTCTTTGTAAATACTTTCAGTTTCAATTCATTTATGCAGTTGCATGTACATATATAATTTTTTTAATACTTTCGAATTTTTTTTTGCCAAATATCTTTTTTTTTAAGATAAATGCCTTAAAGAAAAATGCCATCAGATACCTATCAAAAGATATCAAAAAATTTTTCCAAAATTAAAAAGAAGTCGATTATATTAACATTTCTTTATTATATTAATATGTATATGTATTTAACAATAATAACTGAATTTGGCTTAATATTAAATTATATTAAAATATCAAATAAAATTATAAAAGAAATAAATAAATAATAAATGTAAATATATACATACATACATATGTTTAAATAAATTATAATAAAATAGTTTTTATAAAAATGTCCATTTTACATGACTTTAGACAGTTGCGGAAAAAAGTCAAAAAAATGCCTTAGAAAATCTTATCAACTTAGCTGAAATAGAAAAATTCATACATGTTTGCAAAAATCAATTTGCAACAATCAGCAAATCGATTTCACGCAAATATCATATTTTCGGCAAGCAAGCAAATGTACAAAATCCCGCTCCTTTCCCCGTTTCCCGCTTCTTACTCTACACATGACTTCCATTTTTATTTTAGAGTTTGTTTTGATCCGACACAAGCACGCGCCTGCCTCCGCAAGCATCCCCTCTGCCTAGTGCTTATTATATTTCTGTTCATCTTTCCTTTTTCGTTCTTATTTTTTCATTTTGCTTTGAACTATAGTAAATTTGCTCGAAGTGTGGTGGCACGGAAAATTTTTTGGTATGGTGGCAGCCGACACTTCTCTGCCGACACCGTCGGTCGAGTGGTGCACTTCGTCGATGAGTGGTGTATTTGCTCGACATCTCCTCAAAATTTTTGCGCAACAAAAACGGTCACTGGAAATGCGCCTTCTCATTTATAAACGTTCTCTGCCATTTATATCAAAGGTATTATTGCAGAGTTTCTATACAATCTAGTCTAGATATAAACCTCGTCGGTAGGTGTCATATCAAAAACATACAATTAGACTCTAGAGGTAGATGTCGCTCGCCGAAAGTAGTTAAAAGTAGCCTATAAATATGCACCTCATACGCTACAGCGGAAATGGACGACATGCCATTTCTTTAAATGAAATTAAATGCTGCTATATGTATGTATGTACGTGCATAAGTACACTGGCGGCAGAAATATTAGACTCGTCGTACTTTGAAGAGTGTTTGCTATATTTCTTCCGTTTATTTTATGATTAATATTTTTTATAAAAGCCTAGTTAGTTATACAACATACATCATATAAATCCGCTTTTCAAACTTCGAACAAAAATTATAAAAATTCGACAAATTTCCACCAAATTTTCAAACTTTTTATTCAGAATTGGGTATGTAGTTTTGTAGCCCATTCAAGTTTGAATTGAGTCAAAATACGGTTCATTTTTAAGAATTTTTTTTGCTAACGGTGTCATGCATATTTTCCTATACAAAAAAATTTTTTTAAAATTAACGGTATTTTCTAGCCACTTGAAACTCACCCTTTATTATACTAGAATTGAATGGGCTACAAAACTGCATACCAAAAATGTTTGTATAATTTGTATATAAGGATAGATATTTAT